GTAATCATACACTAATGAAAACATACCTATAAGAGCTGCATAGCCCACCCGTGCTCTTATTCAAATTGTGATAATGCCACAATCAAACAAATGTTATAAACATCAAAATGTCCAATTATTAAAGCTGCAGTAGGTAACTTTTTGTCATATTTGCTAAAACTCACTATATCCTGACAGTAGTACATGTCACAGATTATCTGTTGCATGTCTCACTACTGTCAGCATATAGTGGATGTTTCAGCAAATATGACAAAAAATATGTTTATAAAAATTACCTACTGCAGCTTTAAAGCTGATAAACAAAACTAGCAGATAGAAAAAAACTGACTGGTTTTGTCTGTGTGATTTAAAGTAAATGTACTGAAACCTGGAAACACATTGGTCCTTTTAAATCTAGGTTTCAAAAGCAAAACTCCTCAACCCACACTATTCTATATGTCTGTAGAAATACAGTGACAATACAATGTAATACATTTCTAGGCCTGTTTGTTAGTGAAATAATGGCTGCAGGTATAATACTGAAGTGTGTAACATTTGAAGCACTAGGCAGAAAATGCTTACTGCAAATCATTTGAAATGTGTAAAATAAATGGATAGTCAATAAAAACAACACAAATGTTGGTCAGTGCTGTAAAAATGTTTTCTAAGCAGTCCAAAACTTGTTTTCAGGTTTATGAGCAGAATGCTGAAAGTCAAAGATGACCTTTGACCCTTAGGTTAAGCTTCAGCAGCTCCTGTGTGGTTTGCATGTGAAGTGTAGTTTGAGTTAATTTATAGAGCAGAAGCAGTTTCCTCAGTGTCTTACTACCAGTGTTGTACCACTAGATGACAGTCTTAGATCATCTATTGGCTGTCAGGAGTTAGTGGCTCTCGCTCAGAAGGTGATGATTGTGGGATTTCTGTGGGTTTTTATTCTGTTGATGATCTATGATTAAATATTTTTATTTATTTTTCTTAAATGTACATTTTGGCATGCAGCAAACATCCACACTGATCTGTGGACATTTGTGGATGAATAAACGGAAAATGAAACTTGAAAAAGTTTCTGTTGCTCTTTGTCTATTTAGTCATGATGGGTATCACTGCCCAGTATTTATGCTTATAGCATACATTATTCCAAGGAAGCATAAAATGAAGGACTTCCTGCAGCTTAAGACTTCACACCCTACCAAAAAGTGTCCAAGCTTACATGAACTGACCACAGCACTGTGTGACATCAACTGGTGACAAAGTAACTGCACGTACAGTATTAGCAGACAAAAATGTCTTATCCCTTAAATACCCCATTCAGACATATATTAAGACATGATATATGCAAGTAGTCAGCTTGGAACAATAATGTGTGTTTGATATATAATTTCCACATTAAAATCTTTAAAAAGTGATCTACTCCTTGTACCTCATTAAACATTCCAGAATGTTATATTACATGTGAATATGCAAATGTTAATTTCAAGTTTTCCTGCTGGATAAAAGATTTCTCCTACTTCACTGTAAAGTCCATTCTCAGTGTCCAGTCCACTTGTATATGTTGCATACTGGACCAATTTCAATCACATCACATGATCTTCATCATTAGCAGTTTGATCGTTTGTCCTGGAATTACAGCTGTTCAAATTTCCATTTTTTCTGAGCAAAAGCTGAGGTTGAAAAATAACTTTTCTTTGATTGGTTGCATTATGGGATGTGTAAGACTCAGGGATAGTCACTGTTGCATCAGTTTGGACCATTCTGATTTAAAATTTGTATCACTTGTGAGCCCCCAATATACTAACCTGACCATTGAAATAGTTGACTTTTATGCATATTTACTTTAAATAAACCCCCACAGTGTCCACATGGACACCCACGTGCAGCTTGGACTTTATGACCGTATGGACTGGAAGTATGGACCTTGCATGCAGACTCTATGTGTGAAAATCTGTCTACACAGCCACCCACGAAATAAAACATAATAAATATCTACAACAGTAAAATGCCACATACGCATTAATACAGCAGTCATTTTAATCCAAAAACATCAGATAGAATACTACAGTGACAGGGACCATTTTACTGTACAAAGACTTCTTTAAGTACTCATTGAAATCATCATCACATTTTTAGCACTAAACATTACATTCACTAGCTATACTCCTTAACAATAGTTACTTTAAGGGACTTTAGTTGAATATGGGATTGTCTGATATTGTTATTTATTACTGAACTGACTTGTTGCCAGTGACAGCAACAAATCCCATGCAGTGAGAACCTTTGACATATATGTTCCATCATTCCTAATACAAGCCATCAGCTGCAGTAAGCCATATATGTCTGAGTGTGTGGCGGCATCTGGACTGAATCCACTCTCACTGATGCTGGTCACTGTTTCCTAACACCCCTTAATCCATGGAGGGATGACACGCGCAAACACAGACACACACACAGAATCAAGCTGACACACATGCATGCTCACACATACAGACCAGACAAACAAACATTGACAACACACACCTACACAGACTTAAAACTACAAATCCATACCCAACTAGATAAATACACACTTATAGGAGACAGACAGAATGACACACACCCAACTGCTGTTTTAAGTGATCAGGGGACACAAGCACACACACACACGCACACACGCACACACACACACTTCCCCTAAAACCCTGCCACCAGCCTCGTTCTGAGTACTCTGAGAGGGAAAATGTGTTTTGTTGCTTAGGAACAGTTTGCCTTGCATCTCTGCGGGGGGTCTCCTTTTGAATATCATTATGTCCCCCTCGATTGGGGAAGACGACACATTTTTCTGTTCTGCCAATATTTATCTTGGGCTCCACTCGCTCTCCGGAGGCCCACAAAAACGTTTTCATTGATTAAAGGCGGTTGAAGGCAGATTCCGCCGTCAGACGCCTCACCTCTTTTAATGTAAATTTATCAAAACGGCTGCATGGCGCCATGGCAGGTGTCAAGGTTAGGAGCAGCTGCGCTTTGCTTTTCTTTAGGTAGCAGCCTGAGGAGGGGAAGAGGATGGATATTAGGATGAAATTAATGTTTGTTTGTTTGAGAGCCTTCACCTGAAAATACCTTGCTGCTACAATACAGAGCTGGACAGAGTCATACCGTCAGGCAGATGAACCAAAACTGGGGCCCTGGGCCATGAGCCAAAACCACCATCTCTCTGTGGATTTTCTATACACCCTGTCCTTTTAGTGTAACTGCTGCACAAGTATCTTTTATTTGCGATTACTAAATTGATTTTGGAATTTTATCCGCTTAATAATGGCATAATGGTGTTCTTGGAAAGTGTAAGTCACACTGATTCTTAAAATATGTACAGTATTATGTCTGTGTGGAGAGATTTGACTGAGTTATGACAAGAACAAATAGCGCAAGTACTTTAATCTCCTCCATGAACTGTCTTTTTTAAATAACTTTATTGAAACGAGTATACAATATGTATACAAGTAACAACTTGTGCATACAGATTGAGTCTATAGTCTGGACGGTAACAAAATATAGTTACTAAGTACCAAAATGACTGGCCAGTAAGTACAAAAGTTATTACTTACATGGAAACCAAGAAGAGCCAAGAAAGATAGAAAGACATTTTAGGTTGGTGGCTTGAAGATGATTGTTGAGTCGCATACCTATGCTGGGAATGAAACTCAATATTTCAGCTATGTTTCTTGGCTCTGATTGGCTGTTTTCATTCAGGCCTTGTAGATTGTTGCAAATGCACTTGGAGGAGCCAAAGCTGTCTTATGTACTAGTGTCAGGATATAGTGAAAGTTTCAACAAATATGACAAAAAGTTATTTTTATAAAAGTTACCTTCTTCAGCTTTAATAGTAAATACTAAATTATTACTTACTAGTATATGTTTTGTACACAAAAGGTAAAAATTTAGTACCAGGAAAGGACATGATACTTTTTATGAAACCATTTTAAGGTAGACTATGTATAGAGTACTTGGTATTTACAGGGACATACAAAAGGCTTTATTTTACAGTCCTAGTTCCAAACCATTTATGGAATTTTAATATGATTGATTCCTGAAAACAGTACCTATTACACATCATCAAGGTATAACAGGATACTTTGTTATACAATACTTTTAACTTGAACTCACCAAGGAAGAACAATGAAACTGGCATGGTATTTCCATGTACATACTGTGGATTTTCCTAGTAAGTAATATGTGCCTATACTGGGTAATTAAGTACTTACTAACCATTTATTTATTTCTGAATAAGTTTCCTAGTACATTTACATGTATCTACTAGGTAATACTTTCTAGCCAGTTCTTCTTCTAGAAACTTTCCTAATAACTTCGCACTTTTTGCAAGTTTCACAGGCGAAACAGTTGTTCCCAGGTCATCAAATACAGGCACGAGCAGTGTTCAGTTAGTCGCAATCTCAAACTTCACTACTAGATGCCACGAAATTCTACACACTGGACCTTTAATTGTAAAGATTACAATAGTTATACATTTGAACAGCTTTTTTGTTTGTACATTCAGATATATAAGTGCATGGTTTGATATGGACGGTGAGTTGTGAGCAGCTGGTCTGTGAATATAAAATTTGGTCATATTCAATGAATCCAAACAATATTAAACAAAAGATTCCAAAGTGAGGATAGAGTTATATTGGCCTTGTGTCTCTCCTTCTGCAGGTCCCCTTGGGGGAGGAGTGCTTCACAGTTTGATAAGATTGATATAGAAATAATAATATGAGCACAAAATACACCTAAACAATGAAGTTATTTAAAAAAATAATCTTAAAGCAGGCCCTCCTACACAGGAAACTGAGGATGTTTCTGGTATTGATGACTTCACAACTTCACAAATCTCACTTAATTTCTGTCACTGACGAGAGTACATGCCAACAAATAGTTAGTGCTAAAACAGTAAAAAAACAAAAAAGTTGTTTTCAGCTAATTAACTCTGACAGTGTGATCATAATGATTTTTAGCCATCAACTCCTAACCTGGCTGTGACACCAGCAGTGTTAATTGGAACAAAGATGCATGAAATTTAACCACAGACAGACACACTTCAGTCTGTCCATCATCCAATCTTTCAATTATTCAATTCAATCTGGTCATGTTGAAATTGGCCATCTAATAAACAAGAAAATAAATCTTATTTTTGTCCTTGTGGAGGCACACAGATTCAAAGTAAAAGTTTTTAAAGCCTTTTTTAAATTAAAAATGAAGAATGTGAATTGTGAATTTTAAGGAAAAAAAAACTTACTGTAAATTACTGTTGATCAGAGATTGAAATAAGGCTCATCAGTCATGACTGTACAATGTAATATACGTAATAGCATATAAATATCATCCCACGTTTAAATGTGTAAGTCTATGCATTATAAACCTTTGCCATGTCATTTGCTAACTAATTCAGTTAGAAAGTTTTGGGCGTGCAAGAAGGGAAAAAGTCAGGTGACCTTTGTTGTCATGGTAACAATAGTCAGGTGACTGACTGAAGTAGAACAGGAGCCGGAGCCTTCAGTTACCAAGCTCCTCTCCTATGGAATTCAATTCAATTCAATTCAATTTTATTTGTATAGCGCAAATTCATAACAGAAGTTATCTCAGGACAGTTTTCAAATAGAGCAGGTCTAAACCAAACTCCTTTTAACAT